AATAGCCGAGAGACATCGTCCAGAGCTGCCCCCGTCCCCTGCTTTGAGGAACAATTCCACCTCAACAGGGAGAAAGTCAAAGGGGCACTGAATCCTTTCCTTGTTTTCCTCCTGTGAACACGGTGGTGCCTCTGGAGGTGTAAACGCTTGTCATTAGGGAATATGAGAGTCATAAGTTCTTCTCACAATGTAAGCAGACCCCGACAGGAATGTCATGAAGAGCAGGATTTCTAATCTAATCTGCCAGCGAGACTATAAACTCTGTGAGGGAAGGACCATGCCTACCGGGCTGTGGTTCCCACTCTTGGCCAGTGCTGTCCAGGACCCAGTATCTAGTAGGTGCTGAGTAAGCACTTGTGGAATGAATGTTGGAGGTAGTAAGATCCAGATACTATGACGTACTAATTACTTAAGCATAGGTGTAATCCAAACTCATCAAGTTTCTAAAAACGGAAGTATTCTCCAGTGCTTTTTTTGCTTGGAAATGTTTTGCCCCTCTCTCTTTAAATTTCTATGCATAACTGAAAGTTAGCACACTTAATTCATTGAAATGTTTACTGGATAACGATAGCTAGGAACACCCACGTCCCTTACTTTACATACTTCTGAACCCCATCTTTTTAAAAACAAACATTGCTCAATAATGTTTGAGCAATGTTTGATAATAATGAACAGTTTGCCTCAGACTTACTTTTCGCAGGACCATTACAGCTGTATCACACAATTTAAAAAACAACATTTAATAATGAAAGAAAACACATTTTTTGAGAAATTCGCCCTTTAAGAGAATAAAACTTACACCACTGTGAAAGAATAGATGGTGTTCCCTGCCTGCTACTGGCCTGTGAGTTCCAGACCCCTTGGATATTCTACAGGTACCTCAAAGCCAAGTGCTCGGCCCCCCCCACGCCATCTTTTCTCCCCACTAGAACTGCTTCCCCTGGGTTCCCTGTCTCAAAACACCAGCACTACCTCTGACTGCTGAAGCCATCGGGCCACCCTCGAGGACATGCTTTTCCTTTGTCCTCATACGTAACCAGCATTTTAGTATCTCCCCTCAGTCCACTGACATCTCCCGTTTCTCTGGCCACTCTTTTAGCTCAGGCAGCTATTCTCTGTCCCCTGAACAACTACTAGCAAAAATCACCACACTCGTCTCTCACCATCTAACCTGGCCGGCCTCCAACGCACTTCCCATGCCACCCCCAAAAGTGATATTTCTAAAACACAGACCTGATCAGGTCACTGTAACACAAAGGGCAAGCTTCTCTGTCAGGCATATAAATGCCCTCCACAGCCTGGCCCCTGCCTACTCTGCCTGTCTCCCCTCCCTGCACACACCCCTTCTGCTCATTTCACACCACCTGCAAACTGCAAAGCTCTGTGCTTCCCTTGTCTTTGGTCTTTGCTCCCCCTGCCTGGAGCCTGCTTCCTCCAGGGCTCAACCCCAAGGCCCCCTCCTCCGGGAAGCCTTCCCTGATCTTGTCCACCCTGTGGTCCCACAGCACCTGGCCTGTCCCTCTTACCATGCCATGCTGAAATGGCCTGTGGACACCTCTCTCTCCACAGTAGATGCTTAGCTCCGAGCTCCACAAGGGCAAACGCTGCACGCTGTTCACCATTTTCTCTCCAGGCCTGAGCCCAGTGTCCACTTTCTTGAATTCAGGGAACGTGTCGTATTCCTATGTGATTCCCTGGATTTATCACAATGTTAGAACACAGTAGGTGTGCATAAATGGTCTTGAATTCTAGTAGTTAAAATCCAGTTCTGAGACGAACACGCTTTCACTTGCTACTTGTCCCCGTATTCAGTGCCAAAATGTCCATGTGACATGTACAGACGACAGCAGACATTTATTTCTACTATATATAGAATAAAATATTACCAAGAACAGGGTTGTGATACAAATATCTGTAAGCTGAGTTTCTAGAATCGGGATGTGCATCTTCAAGTTGGCAGCATTTGCTTTGGAGTCAAAGATTCTCATTATCACTTACTAGCAAGTCATTTCATCTTCCTGCAGCTCGGCTTCTTCATGTGAAAAACAAGCTTTCTCCAGCTTCAAAAGCTTGCAAGCAGAAGTGGCCTGCTATTTTTACGCATTGAGTTTGAAAGGTATTTTGAATAAGAAGGCTCCTGGAAAAAAATAAAGTAGTCTGCTAATGTCTTGCAACTGACACTTGAGTATATTCATACATAAAGTTGAAAGATGACAACTGGGTTAGGGTAATTTAGCAGTAAGTTGTTCTAAAAACATTTTGTGGAGAAAATATATATAAACAATTATAGACAAAATTATAAAGTGCCTGGTATTTTAGAAGAATATACAGAGAATACAGCAATCACAGCAGAGTCAGGAAGTCTAGTGGTAACCAACCTATGATTTGCAGTATTTGTAACAATTAAAAAAAAAAACTGTCCAAAATTGCACTGTTTTCTTTTTCTTTTATTTTTTTAACTGCTAGATAAACAGTATTACAAGATGATTCCACAACGGTTGGTCGTTATATATACTCAGAGCTCTGAAGTCGCCGACCTAATGTGGCTCTTTCACAAAACACGACTCTTTTCGGCCTCCACACTGGCCATGTCATAGAGTTGGGGATACTGGAATCAATACTATTACATATAAAATCCTGAGTATCTTAATGTTAATGTCTTTTATAACCACTTTGGTCAAACCTATGGTTTATATAAATTTAAAGCAACTCTAACAGACCAGACCCTGTGTCTCTTCATTTTTCCAAGTTCCCCAGTTAAAGGGGCCTCAGTCATGTTACAGCTTTCCTGTTTTAGCCACCTAAAATTATATGCATATTTAGAAAAGGCTCTTAGCGCTCTTATTACCTTGAAAAATAAGATATTTTTATGCAATGAGTTTGAAAGGTGTTTTGAATAAGAAAAATAATGCACAGAAATACTTGTAGTATTTTCTTAGGTTGCTCAAAATAGTTTCTTAGTAAAGTCATCAGCTCTCTATATAATCTTACAAATGTACTCTTTATGTAACTTTTTATCTATATGTGATCTTCTTGTTTTAGTTTTGGAGTTCTTCCAAATAAACTTAAATTATTTTGTTATTCTAAGCCTAATATAAACTAACACTTTAAAAAGTATTATAGTGTTATAGATTATGCATTTAAGACAACAGAAAAGTTATATAAAATACCCTATTCCCTATCAAACGTAAAAGAAAAGAATATTTTGTTTTACACATGCACACCCATACACCTACACACCAACAGAGCCTCATGAACTAAAAAATACTTCCAAGCCCTAGTTTTAGGAGAAAGAGCATCCATTTGTTTTGTTTTTTTCACTCAAACCCACATATTTAAATTCAAATATTACTGTTTTTAAAAAGCAAACCTCATTTCTGGTGAGTTCCTAAAACATAGGAAGCTGTTACATATACTTTTGGGCAGTGACATCCCCCCATTGATGCCCAGGAAATTCTAGCCAGACCAGATTCCACGCCACTTCCGGCAAAGCACACCGCGGTTCATTTCCCTCTTCCTGTCTGATGCCTCCTTCTCCATCACGTATGTGTATGTACACGCACACACACACATACACACACACACACTCTCTCGCTCTCTCTCCTTCAGAGTTCCTGCCTGCCCTTTTCTGTGAGGTCTGCCCCAGCAGTTTCAGCACTCCCAGTCTCTCTCCAAAATTCTGAAGGGTCTCGACTCCTCGTAATGCATGATCACGTCGGTCTCTGTCTCAGTCCCGTTCTACGTTCCCGTCCCCACTGCCCAAGCTCAGCGAACAGTGGCGGAACGGATCTTCTTTACTGTTAGGTTCCCAGGGCCTAGAAGTAAGTGCTAGATAATGGGGCGCTTCAACAGCTGCTTAATGACAAATGACTACTGCTGTGTAAAGATTCCATGTGTACATACTTTTAACCAGGTCATTTTTAAGGGCAAGGAATTTATATTATCTTACATCATTTATATCACTATGGTCATGACCAAAATGGGCTAAAGATGAAACTATATTTAGAAGCACTGAAAGATGGGTCCCCTGAGCAAGTGTGTCACTAAAAAATTAAAGATTTATAATATTGAATGTTATTTGAAGGATCATTTTAATCAGTTAACCACATTCAATGTTTCTTTTTAAAAAAAAATGAAGCTACATCTTTCTGATCAGAATTCTAAAGTTAATATGTAGGGTAGCGTATCAGAGTAAAAATTATCCTTGAATATCCTTTCAATGGGTCTCCCCCCAAATATAGTATACACAATTTTGAACATACCTCACTATGTCTCAGTAATTATAATGTAACAGTATAATTTCCATCAGGGTTTGGAACACAGCTGTTTCTTCCATTAAACATCCTGTAAAGTAGTTGCATTTTTAGGGGCCATGTACTAAGGAAAACTACTTAAATAAATTTTTTTCTTTTTCCTACTCAGTGCATATAGTTGAATTAAATAAGCATCAAGTGTAATACTACTGAATACAAGTTGTAAAGATAATGAATCAATTCTGTAAATAAAAGCTGCAGGGAAGATGATAGCAACAAAAGCTAAAGAGTCTATCAATTCAGAAATTATTAGAATATATCCTTGAATGTCAAGTCTCTATTAACACTTGGAAAATTCCCTCTAAATTTCTTCAAGTAACATCTTTTCTATAGTATGTCTACCTTTATTCCTTTACACAGGAATTGTTTATCTCTCACAAAGTATTTCTTTAAAAAAATTTTTTTAAGTATTTCTCCAAAAATAAGCAAAAAAATCTAGGTTGTGGAAATACATTTTTTGATATCCGGTACAAGCGATTTACGATAGTCTGCATGTTTTAAAATCCTAAACAAATCCCGTTAAAGTACAAACACCACAAAAATGTAGATGTCCTCCTCGTCTTCCCATCCACACACACAATCACTTCTAGTCTTAAAAAGAAATACTCTATATAATTACCATATGAACCACAATTGCACTCCTAGACATTTACCCCAGGAAAATGAAAACTTATGTTCACACAAAAAAACTGTAAACGAATGTTTATAGCAGTTTTATTTGTAATAGTCAAAAACTAGAAACAACCCTTGTCCCAGATGGTGAATGGCGAAACAAACCACAGGCCAATCATACCATGGAATACTACCCAACAATACAAAAGAACAAATTATTGACATATGCAAGTTGAATCTCCAGAAAATTATGCTGAGTGAGAAAAGCCAGTCCCAAAAGGTTACATACTACATGATTCCATTTATGTAACATTCTTGAAAAGACAAAATTATAGCAATGGAGAAGAGATTAGCGGCTGTTAGGGTGAAGGGGTGGGTTCCGAAAGCAGTGAGGGTGGATATCAAAGGGCGATCTGAGGAATCCCTGTGGTGACGGAAATGTTCCGTATCTGACCGTGTCAATGTCAACGTCCAGGTTGTGACACGTGCTGGACACTGTAAGGTGTTACTATTGGGGAAACTGGGTAAAGGGCACAGGGATCTCCATTATTTAGCACAGCTGCACGGGAAGTCTATAATTATCTCAAAATATAGTTTAATGAGAATAATAAGAAAGAAATACTCTAGCCTAATAAACTGACTTTGCCATACTGAGATCTGAGCTTAAGAATTCATCATAGCACTTGGATTCTTGGTCAAAACTATAGAAGTGGATGAAGTACAAACTGGGTTACTCACAACACTGTCACCGAGAGCAGCTTCCACAGTGGAAACGGCATCTGCGAATTTCCCCAGTTCCCTAGCTGAGGGCTGTCTCTGGTCAGACAGACCCCTTCACGGTGTTCACACCACAGAGGCCGCAGGCCTGCCTTCCACAGAGGAATCTTTCTCTTATTCTGCAGTCACCACGGAGGCCACAACAAGGAATTTCGCAATGGCGAGGCAAGTCCTCATTATTCAGCCTGCTCTAATGTAAGAACTCTGTGAAAACTGGATGTCAACCTTCTTTACATAAATCAAATGTTCAAACACATAGCAGACGCTCTGCCAGTCAAGGCGATTGCTTCTTGTATGTGAGCTGAGCTAATAGATTTGTTGAGGAGAAAATATTCTATTCCAGAGGGACTAATATAGAGAATTAAAATATATACACGGATATGTTTCAAGTCTGTTTTCTCTCCAAAACATAATAGGGGTCACAGAACAAAGTGATTTTAAACCTACTCTAATAATACTGGATTACCAGAAAAATTGCTATGATGGAGAGAGGGATTTTGGGGTTTTTTTGAGACCTCTTTTTCAGGTATAAACATTCATTCAGCCCAGTAAAGACATTTTAGAAAAAAAGTCCACATATGAAATTGTCTATACTTTGATTAAAAAACAGCAAATGTTTGGTGATACTCTACAATATGAGCATTTCAAATAAAATTGGTGATCAAGACATAACCTTCTTCTAAATGACAACTTGGGATTTTAATTGGAAAAATGCTGTAGTCTATAAATAGGAACATCCAAAACATTTAAACCACTTGAGCACTCGATTTTTCCATGTCCTTTGCATCTAGATTGCCAGACCTCAGGAAATTTCGAAGACCGACAGCTGAACCTAAAAGGAAAAAAAAAACAAAACAAAAACCCCATTTAATTGTCATGATCATTGTCACCATCAATCCCTAATATCTTACACTTCACCAACTACACTTAACTTGGCCATGCTGCTTTATGCTTGGGAGAAGACAAATCACTAATCAATTATACACACTAATTAAAAATGCTACCTTTAGGAGGCATTGTAATAACTTAGTACCGGGGTATTTCCTCTAACTGCTTCCTTTAAAGCATTCGACAACACATGAGGCAGGAGGCACTGAACATATGCAAATGCTTAATGCTACAGTCTACATAAACTATCAAATTGTCCCCCAAAAGTGGCAGTACCATTCTACAACTGCTTGAGGTGACATGGAAAATAGAATTATATGCTAATTTGTTCCTATATTAAGTTATCATAGAAGGTCAGATCAAACACAGTCAAGTGAAAAAATTAACTAAGTAGATTGGTATGTACTGTAACAAAGTAAACTGTTTATCTTAACAGATAAAAATACACGAAAGATTTTTTAAATGGGGGCATTTTCTCCTTTTCAAAAAATAAATGTTTTAACCAACCCAAGGCAATGAATTGCGTGATTTAAAAACACTTTGTATTATATAGTTTTTCCCTGAAGAAAAACAAGGGCAAGTTGTTGTTTTTTCCCCCAAGGGGAGAAGAGAAATGGAGAAGGGCCTAGTATTCAAAACAGAATAATTTCCACAGAAAACGCTTTATTTTTTCTATATATTTATTGAATTTAATTCACGTAAATAATAGTTCTATGCATGTACTATAAAATGAACACATGTGTTCAAACTAAATAATGGGGTCAAAAGGTACCAACTATAATACATCTATTATTTTACTCCAAAATAAACTAAACAACAATATAGATGTTTTTCTTAGCATAGATTTGTCTGAAGACACTATGGAAAATAACTATTAAACAATCTATATCCATTTTTTTCTGGAAGGTATAGCGATAGCTATGCCTTATCCATAGATAAGTTCTGTGGATACTGTATCAACTTAAAAAACTATAAACCAAATTCGTTGTTGAAGAATTTGGATTATCAGTTTTATATATGATGATGGTACATCCCTCATAGTTCTATTTTCAAGGGTCATTTTAATAGAGAAAGGGAAAGAATTTGGGGAGGGGTGATGGAGAAATGAAATCTTATACCATTTGAAACCACGGGACCAGTATTTTATATAACCTCTAGCTTATTGCAAGACACAACTAAAACGAGTGAGAGAGACCATCTGTGTCCCGCCCTTACGCAAATACCTGGGGAAAAATAATTGTTTGTTCTAGAGTCTATCCTTTTTTCCATTAGAAGATATGTTTATATTTTTCATTTTACTGCAACATTTCCAATGCCATGCTACAAGAGAACAAGCACAAAAAGCCATATGAATTTTCTTTAAATCATAACTCATTTTTCATTTCTAAAGGACTTTACCTACTGCTTTTAATAAGATTTTATTACTATTAGTTATCATAAAATGTTAGGTTCCCATGAAGTATCAGTTTGATCCATCTTGTTCAAATACTGACTTTTCTGCTATATATTACCGGCATTATTTACCCTATGTTCTCCTTACCAAGTTAGACACGGAGATACTTATTCAGTCATAAAATCTTCAGGCTCCTTGATGAACTATAAAATAAAGCTATATACGTCTCTGCTATCATTCTTGTTTGAAGGGCCTTATTATCTATTGAGATCTTAATCCATAAAAAGGTGAGAATTACATTTAAAAAGGGGGTAGAAGTCTCACAAAGATGAAAACACGCACTGATGCCTACAATATCAGGACTTAAGTAAATTAATCTTCATTCCCACTGAAAGCAATCTGATGTCCAGGGACTGGGAATTATTCTACCATAAAATACGGCACATTAAATACTACAATTACCCATTTGAAATGTCTTCAGGTAATTATTATGTCATCTACAAATGATTGTACATATAGTTATATTTTAATATTCATTACCGGAGATTCTAATGCAAAATATGTTGAAACTGTAAAAATATTAAGTCGGTTAAAGATAAGATCAAGCATATCTGTAGCTATTCTATGGCTAAAAATAAGACTCCAAATAAGATTTGAAAAAGAATCAGTAAAAACAAGAGCGAAATATCTGACCCTGGTTATCACAAACAACACTATCATTCCTGATGGTTTGCATATAAAACTCCTTATCTCCACTAGCTAGTTGAAAAGAATGAAAAGCTTTTTAGAACCAGCCAAAAAGAAAGTCTTTACCATGCTTCTTGAAAAAGCTCATTTTCACATTACTCAGGCTTCATTATGCTAAATCAATATTCGTTTAGTCACTGGGGTTATTGACATATTTTAAAATAAAAGTATACCCTTCAGCTACTGGACTCATTACAGGTAATTTGTCTTGTCAGAGAGCAGGGAATATTATCCTAGTCTTTCAGGGGCTGACAGCCCATGGAAATACCTCCCCATGGTTACAACTGTAAATAATTTTAAGGTAAAATATTGAAAAATCAATGACTGTTTCCTGCAATCTGTCACAAACAAATCAATCATAATCTGTACTGCCAGAGAGTATGATTTGAAGGAGATGGGAGCAGATGTAATTCTTGGCTGGAATCTCTCATTTCAAAATCACTTCACATAATGGTGTCATCATTTAAACACTTAACAGTCAGTGCAACTGCCACTGTAACATCTAGTTGGACAAAACCACAAGGAGGAGGAGGAGAAAATGCCATCACTATTATGTTAACAAACATTTAATTTAAATGGTTGCCGCATTAGGAAATTTCGGCTGAAAACAGTTTTACCTGCTCCCTTTCAGAGTTCTTCATTCATCAAGGCTGCTTTTCTATGTACTAATGCTTAATAAGTTGGTCCATGACTCACAATTTTACTTTCTAAAGCATGTCCATTTTTAATATAGAGAATAAAATTTGGAGTTAATTAGACATTTAGATTGTAGAATATCCATAATTCTATCTATATAACAAAGGCAAAAAATAGTGTCACAATGTCAAGATTATACTTTTAAAGTAAGTCTAAAGGTCTCAGTTGCCAAGATATTAAATTTTATATTTTCCTTCTATTAATACATACTACATTTCAACTTTGTAATATTGTAGCATATTTTAAGATGACCAGCGAGATCTATTAGTCAACTCAAAAATACCCTTGCATTCCCTACACAAGCTATAGACCACAGGTTGCTATTTTAAAAGCTGGAGTAATAACCCAAATATATGAAGTGTAAAAGTTGGTCAAGGTCATAATATTGAATTGTTTTGCAAATGTAAACTGCTTTCTGAGTAATCACTTTGATATCACCATTTTTTCTAGGCTACATTTTAATGGCTTCCTTAGCTGCTTACAACCTCTACCTAGGTATGAATAAAAGAATCTGAGATTGGTGTATTTCCCCTTCCTGTTGTGTTAATCAAAAACATCATTTGATTTAAAGATTTAAGACTCTTTTCCTGACGGTTTTTCTTTTTCAATGTATACTAGCTCCCTGAATAGCAGAAACTGATTTTAGATACCACAATGCTTACCAATTTGCTCATATTAGACACCATGAAGCCCTTAATTGTTCTACTAATATCCCTCCGTAGATGTAGTTCAGGGGGTAGATATTTTCAATGACTAGAAAAGTATATTTTTCTTAAAAAGGAAAAAAAAAAAGATATAAACACCATTACGCAATTTAAGCCTGTATAAACGTCTTAGCTGTAGTAACTAGTCTTTTATAAAAGGCTGTTATGTTTTTAATTTAACCTGCATATTCAATGTGGCAACATAGCTTGAGAAGATAGTTTTTCTTATTGATACAAATTGAACACAATTTTCGTTCTTTAAGAATCTTAGATTCATTCTTTCACACCAATATTGGGTTTTGAAAATGAAACAGCACACGAATAAATTATCTAAGATATCATCCAGAATAATATAAAGTCCTCCATTCCATTTGAGTCCCTGCAACAGCTGCAAAAGCAAGCAGCAAGCCAACCTAACAAGAGGAAAAGAACAGAATTACCCGTAGCCTAGGATTACACAAAAAATGGAAAAGGACTTAAAAGCTGTGAACTAGGAAAAGCACGTGTGTGCATGTGTGTGTGCACGCGCGCTCCTGGCCCACAGGGCACCAGGGCAGCCGAGGCTGGGCCCAGCTAACTCCTTGGTAGAGCTCTGGAGCTAGTTGTCAACCACCAAGTCTCCCACTCAGAGTATGGTTGTGGCTGGCAATAAATCGCCCTGCAGAAGAGAGCATTTCCACAGAGGAGGCAACAAAGGCTGGCAGGTAAATGAGGGCAGCCCAACAACCTGCTAATTGCATGCACATCAGCTACCAACCAAAATGACATCTACTACAACTGTGCAGGCCACCATCACAGATCGAATTCTCAGAAAGACGCTATTTTAAGGGTGCTGAGTATGCCTAGATGAGATTTCTCAGCTCTCCCAGCACAACCCATAGCCCTGGGAGAAGCAGCTCAAAAACTCAGCACAGGAAAATCAGATCATTTTCGTATCTCCAATGTAAAGAAATGGCTGTCTACTAGATAAAGTTCTTATATGTAATAAAGGCTTAGGATTACAGAGAAAGTATTCTTTTAAAAGAGATAATATTACCTCCCTATCTTCAGAATCTCTTCCTTCCAATAGCCAGCCAGCACAGGAGCTCCATTATGAACTGTAGATTATTAAAAAGACAAACAGCAATAGTTAGCTTCATCTTTTCTACCACTTCCTTCCTTCATGGAATTACAATTTAATTACCAATACTTCAATTGATTTTATTCCTGAATGATACATTTCTCCAAGAGCATACTCTAGCTATTTCCACTGGAGAACATTTAACACAACCTTCTCAATTAATCAACCATAACCTATTACTGCTGAAAGAACATGTTTTCTTCATATTTTCAAAAGAGTGGGGAACCTCAGGCCTACCACACACACACACACACACACACACCTATTTTATATAAAAGGAGTATGAATTTTAATACATTTGAATACCATTAATATACATAACATATGAATCTTAATAAATTTTGGTTGACAACAGATAAAATAACTCAACCAATTCACATATATGTTTAGATTTTTCCTGCATTTATCCTTAGGAGGATAAAACCCCAATCCTCTTATCTTTTAAATTCAACAACTTTACACTTGGTTCAAAAAATACAAAAACAAAACAAAACAAAACAAAAACACAATTAAGTTTAAAGGCAAACAAAGAGGAATCAAATTGTTCACTACTTAGCATTCTCTTTCTATTTGTGTTGTGTATTTTCTAACTGGCAGTAATGCTTCCTTCAACGCTTGGTCATACATGAAACCCCGCCTCCATAAGACCCACTCAGTGATAGGGGAATGCAAGTGTGCTATTTAAGAATAATTATTATTACTTCATATTATGTTAGAAATCACTTTCATGCCTTTGAAAATATTCACAGAGAAGCATTTGTTCTATTGTAGGCTCAACTAACTATAGCTACTTTCTGTAAAATTAGCTTTTTTGGGGTCACACACCATCTTTTTTTACTTAACAAAATGTTCTATCATTAAATCCAGTTCCTTGTTCTCCCCAATACACAACACAAATATTCTTCAAAATAATTTTTTCTCATAGCTTTTCTCATCTGCTTGTATTAAGGAGCCCCAATTTTGATGAGAAATGACAAGTTTTACACACAACTGTGTACTCTTTGTCATTAACATTGGTACTCATGACTGGAGCTGATACTCCCACTAAATTTATTCTGAACAGGACTGGTAATGAAAATAATAATAATAATAATAAAAACTAATTTGGTATAAATAAGTTATTTCCTTTAAATAATAATTCTATTTTTATAAAAATATAACCTTAGTCTTAATTTTTATGAAAAGCACTGAGAGTTTATAAATTTCACTATCCAATGATATCATTAAAAATAAATTATTCAGTGGATTTCCATGAATCAAAATTTTTTCTATTTACTGAGCCTTTGTTTAATGCACTAGTAAAATTTTAATAATCAAAAGCCTCAAGTGACATTCTGTACTTAGTCCCTATTACCAATATAAATACTTTGGTAAAACCAGCACATGCTACTTGGGGTTTACTCCACATACAAGCATACTGTGCAGACACTCACTTGCAGATGAGCCTGGGGATGTGCAAGGACAAAGTTCAGCCAGCATTTGGAGGAACCCCATGGTTCAGAAGTCAACTTAGCTGCAAACATCCAAATGTATTATGGAAACACCATACTTATCACCTGCACAGAAAATGGAAATGATTCTGTTTAAGGAAACACAGAAGACCAATTAAATGCTTTGGGGATATTAGATATGAATATTTAATCTAATTTTCTCCAGGGTATCACTCCATATTACGGCAAAAAAAACAAATAAAGGCTGTATCAAGATGTGGAATATCATTAGCCTGAGAAAAGGCTAGAAAAAATGGATTACATAAATGACAACTGCAGGAGAAAATTATGTTCCCTACTCCTGAACAAATGTTAAGTGCATCCTTACTAATAAAGACTTAAACTCAAACTACATTAGAATATACTGGTTTTCAATTTTGAAGCACCTAAGTTAATTTGCCAAGCTAACTTGGTGCTTAGGTATACTGTAGCTATAAAAATATTCAAGACTTATGCAGAAATAAGACATAGGAATCACGCTTCAGAGTAGTGCTGTAAAAGCAATCCAGTCATTACTGAACAAGAAAAAAATAATTCCAAGATTTTACATCTTCTTAGAGCTGCTTCAGCTGCTATTCTATTAAGAACAATTATTCTCTATAAAACAGCTAACAATTATACCAAAAAGATGTTAAAAATACAGAAGCCAACACACTGTCAAAATTAAAGGGAGATATACAAAGATATTGCGCTATTTCCAAACAAAACAGGCTGTGCTATTTCAGAGTTACAACATTATTCCAGAATATGATACTGTTTTCATAATCTATAATTCACTCATGATTACATTTCATTTACTTTCATGTTATCAACTGAAGAACGTTTAAATTTTTTTAAAGATTTCTATAATATAAAAATATATTAATAATTATTTGTGTTATTTATTAAAATGGATGATAGGTAATTAGTTCATATTGCTATTTCATTTCTTTTAACAAAGCACATCAAATTTTAAAATAATACAAGGATAATAGCATGGGGACGCTGATCTTAGCTGCCAGAAAAAAATTTCTAATGGGGAAGTTGAGGGATCAGTAAAGTATTTATTTCAAAATTAATACTTTTGTTTTAGTTTCAGCAAACAGCTCTAAATAAGTCTTTCTTTGATTTTAGTTTACCATGTAATTCTAGCCAGCTAATTATCCTTGGAGTCACAAATGAGCTGTGACTCTACACCTGGCTTCTCCGATCATATGCCTATGGCCTCCTCCACTTTCATTTCCTCTTTCTACAATGAGTTGTAATATTAAAGAAAAACACTCACACATCTTACATACACACTGATGGACAGGCAGCTTCCAGGAAATCATGATCTACAAAGGGGGGTGGAGGTGGGGGTGGGGATCCTAATGCAATACTTATGTTAAAGGGTATTAGGTGCTGGGTAAGCCAAGGGTAATATGATCAACAGCATCCCTCTTGCTTTTGTTTTTGCATTCAGAGATTTGAAGTCAAGGACAGTAGTATTAATTTAGTGGTCACCCAGGTTGTGATTCTTATCCTTAAGTTAATAAGAGGCTAAATGCACTATCTTCCTTTGCTCATCAATTCAAATTTACAGAACAATATTTTGGAAGAAATAAAACAGCTTTTTAAAAAATATTTCTGTAAATAAAAACAAGGCACTCCATTAGCAACGTAGCTAAGTACCTGACGATATGAAAAAAGAAATTGTTTTAGATCATTAAAACATTCTAGGAAACTGTTTTCCAAAAAATGAAGTGGCATCAATTCCTCATATATTTACCTTTGTATTATATTCCTGTTGCTGCATATAAAGCATCCCTTCCTCTATAGATTTATTCTGAACACTAATAAACGTTTGCTTAATACACTGCTCTGTTTATGCTTTTCTTTTTAAATTAGTAACCATTATTCCACAAAGATAAAGCACAAAGAACGCCGACAAAGGCACTGCCAAAACGCCACAAGTAGTATTCGGACATGCCAGAACACTTAACATTAAACTATCATTTCTCTCTACAACTTCTGTTGCCAAAGTGCTCACAAAATCTGGAAGCTCAAAGACAGGTTTCAAGTGCAATTAAATTCTCCAAAAGCAAAACTGTACAAAAATATGCTGCCCTTCTTATGTCACCATTTTATAGACAACATTTTCTCAGGATCTTAATTAAGATAACGATGCACACCTGTGTCAACATTCTCTGGTAAGACAGCCTTATCAATCATAATCCTTTAAGTACACTCCAAAACAGCAAAGCGATATGACAGAAGCAATCTGTTGCCTTTCCTAGTGTGGGTGTTGTGTCTCGCCCACAAAAATTATGAGATCTTTAAAATACAGCAGACCTACTTTTACGAGTCTTTTAAAGTTTTAACTGTAAACAGTTATTACACTAAATAAACAGGAATAACCTCTTTTGCACTTGATTTAAACAATAACAACCGTACAGCCCAAACTCGAAGAGCAAGCTCTAAGGCCACGTCTCAGCAACACCACCGTGGATCTTATTTTAAAGCTTTAAATTTTAAGAGTTCTGCAGAACTGGACCCGTGCAGACATGACAAACCAATAAATCCTTAATAACTTGTAAAATTAGAATTTTTAAAGTCCGACGGTAAAAACAATCAGGGCACACCTATCCTCCCCCCCCCCACCAAGTCTAAGTTAAAATGTTCAGAAAGATACAAATGCAATAGGAAGCTCCCCCCCCCCCTTAAATGAGTCGTCTTGGTAACCTGAAATGAGAGGGAGGGAGGGAGCTCGCACCTCTCCTGGGGGAGAAAGCTTCAGTGACAAGAGCCCAGGGAAACTACTAACAAGTAAGCAGGTTCCCAAATGGGGGAGCAGATGAATAAAGGGGAGCAAGTGGGGAGAGAGGAACCTATCGTCACCACTACGAAGATTGAAAAAAAAAAAAAAAAGAAGTCAAAACCCCGTGTTTACCAGCAAAAACGTGAAAGCTTTTACACGAAAACGGAGAAAACCCGCCAGATGCTATCTGAATCCCGTCTGCCTGCTAATGATCAGCTCTTCCCGTTCACATATTAACACAAGTCTCTCTCAGACGCGGGGCGGCTGTGGCCAGCCACGCAGCAGAGCCATCAATGTGCAAATAAAGCAGAAAATAGAGACATCCTTAAGAAATGAGTCTTAAATTTGACGTAGAGCGGAGGTGACAACCACAGCGACAGAACCATAAACTCTAAATGCTTCAATATCTTTCAGGATTCTCCCCAGTCCTTGGACACCAAAAGGAAGACAGTAAAAGAAAAAAGGGGGCGGGGGGGCGGGAGGGGGCAGGGTGATGTAATGAGGATGTCTGTGTGACAGACTCAGATGCTCGGTGGCACAAACCTCCATGGCTCCGTTTCAGAAATCAGCATCCTGGACCGGAGCCGAGCGGAGGAAGCCGCCGCGCGCAGACCGAGGGTACACGCCCACGCGCGCCCGCCCGGGGACCGTGGCACCAGGAGAGGCCCGCTCAACACTTACGCGGCCCGTGTCCACCCGGCGACCGGCGGCGCACGGCCACGTCGAGCGGGGTCACGAGGGGACGCGAACGTGGCTCGAGGGGCGGGGAAGCCCGGCTGCGACGGGGCGGACCCCCGGCGGGACGGGGCACTCGGGGCTCACCTCTCACTCGCCGCGCGGGCGCGCGGGCCGCGGACGCTCCCTCGTGGCCGGCGCGAGCTCCCGGCGGGCGGCGCGCGCGGGCCGCTACCGACCGTTACCGCGAGGGGCTGCGGCGGCAGCGGGCGGAGCCGGGGGCGGTCGCTGAGGAGCGGAGGGGCCGCGAGAGGCGGGAGAGAATGGAGCGGGGGGCGGGGGACGCGGCCGGGCGTTCCCCGCGACCACTCGGGCCTAGACAGCTCCCGGGAAGACGCCGCCTCTTGGCTGCCTGAGAGGCAGCCGCCGGCCGGCTCCGCGCTCCCTCCTCCTCCAGCGGTCCGGGCCACTCGGCTTCGCCTCAGTCTCCGCAGACTCGCGGCCACCTCGGCCCGGCAGCGCCCGCCACCGCTGCCTCCGGCTTCTCGTCTCCATGACAATAGTGCTCCGACGCCCCGCCCAGCCCCACCCCCTGGGCGCCGTGACTCGAATGGCAGCCGGCTCACGTCCTCGGGAGGCGGAGCCAATGGAGGCCAGCGTCCAATTAGAGGGGAAGGCAGGGCGGGACAGGGACGCGAGGACCGAAAGGGTTTGGAGTATATCCGCTTGAGGGGCGGAGCCTGAGAGGGCTGACGGCGGGGAGAAGTCAGCGCGCGTGCGCGGAGTCGCGCCGCCGTGCGTGTACGAGTGTGCTGAATGGGTTAGTGCGCGGGGCCCCGAGCTTAAGAAATCAGTGTGTCTCGCCCGTCTAGATACACTTTTGCGGGGCACTCTCTGTAGAGTGGTACTTCGACTCGCGTGTGATCCCAATATAAAAGGCCACAAAGTCCCTGATATACTGAGCTCCAGCGAAGCGCCAAACAATGTGCCGGCCCCTGTCCTGGTTCACCAGCGCCCCTGTCTGTCCCCGAGATCGAGTGCGTCTGTGGCTTGTGGCGGCGCCGGGCGGACAGGCGGAGGGTCTGTTGTGTACTCTAACCGTGTGGCCGTCGTGGGCAAGGTCTCTCTGCCTGTGACTCAGTTGTGTGTGTTTGTCTTGCCAGCGCCTCGCTGAACAAACAGTGTTTTGGGTTGGGCACTGCTCTGCGAAGTGTTTACAGTGGCGCATGGGCGGGTGCGAGAGCGCGTGCGAAGGGGAAGGGGGCGCGTACCCTCCACTACCACCACCGGCCTGGTGGGACGAGCTGGGGCATGGAAAGCGCCGAGAACGAAGCAGCGAGGCATAGGGCGCGGGTGGCAGTAGAGGAGAGTGGGGTCCGAGACCTACTCCAGTTTAGACGCTTCTCCGTCTGGCAGCTCTTGCCCACTACCTCCCCTCTAGAGAAGGGCTCTCTATGCCCACACGTCCCAGGCCCCCAGTGTCTTCTCTGTTGCCGTCTGGCGGGGAGTTAGTGGAAGGATGGCTGGGTGCGATACGTGCAGATGTCCAAGGCCTGTCTCTCGCCCACCTGCTGCTGCTGCTGCTGCTGGCGGAGAGGAACAGGCATCCCGGACTCTGCTCCCCGGACGAGGGCTTTCATCGGGCTCTTCCAGGGACCTTCATTATGGGTCTTCAACTCGCTCTCAGGTCCCCTGGCTTGGGGGAGAAGCCAGAGGCGGGTGGGCGGCGATCCTCTTCTGAGTCCAGCCTGGCGAACAAACCCTCTAACTCCGCGATTTACTGTGGCGAGGAGAGAGCAGAGCGTTCGCTGGCGCGCCTTTCTCGGCCTCGTCCCCTTTGTGCTTCGAGAGGCCAGATCCGCCACCAGGGCCCGCGGTGCGTCGGAACCGCCGCTCCACCCGGACTTAGCAGAGGAGGAAAGTTGGAAGAGATCAGCGCGCCTGGGATGTGATTGTCATCCTGGGGCCGGCGCTCGAGAGTCTGAGAGAAGGGGGGGGGGGGGGGGGGGAGAAACCGGGGAAGGGAGGGGGGAGAAAAAAAGGGAGGGGGGAGAGGAGGGCCGCGGAGGAGAGGCGGGCGCGAGGGAGGGGCGAGGGGAGCGCCAGCGAGCGGGAGAGGGAGCCCGGGAGGAAGAGGGTGAGGACGAGGCGCGCCTGGCGGCCGGGTTGGCTGCGGCCGCCCAGAGGCTCCTGCCAGTCCAACCACCGACTACACCCCGGGAAGGAGGAGCCTCAGGCGCGCACAAGGCGTCAGAATCCTCAATTTCCAACTTAGCATCTTGGCAGGACCTTTGCGAAGCCAAAAGCAGAGCCCCCCAGTGCAAAGAGCGAGGGGGAAAAAGAGAAAGCAGCAAGGAAAGGGGGGAAAACCCAGCCGAGGCGAGCAAGGAGCGCAGAGAAGCGGGCTCGGCGGTCGCAGCCGGAGGCGCGCGGGAAGCTAGCGAGGAGGCGCCGCGAGCCGGAGCCCGGGAGCCGGGGCCGGAGGAGCAGCGGCCCGGGGCAGCCGGAGGCCAGGTGCCCGCCCGCTCGCCCTCGCAGGGCGCCGCCCGGCTAGTTGGCGGCCGCAGCGCGGCGCGCCCCATGCCCGTGTGTGGCCATGTCCTACCCGCAGGGCTACTTGTACCAGCCGTCCGCCTCGCTGGCGCTCTACTCGTGCCCCGCGTACAGCACCAGCGTCATCTCGGGGCCCCGCACGGATGAGCTCGGCCGCTCGTCGTCCGGCTCTGCGTTCTCGCCCTACGCCGGTTCTACCGCCTTCACGGCGCCCTCGCCGGGCTACAACTCGCACCTCCAGTACGGCGCAGACCCCGCCGCGGCCGCGGCAGCCGCCTTCTCTTCATACGTGGTGAGTGAGCGGGAGCCGCGGCCGGCATGGGCAGCAGGGGCCGCGTCTGGCGGGCGGGGGCTACCGAGACACCGGCCTCAGCACCACAGCGAACTGCCCCCGCCAAGCTCTGCGGCCCCTGCAAACTTGGGCGATTGCCTCGGTCGGCTTCACCCGGGCCTCGGGCTCGGGAGTTGCTCTGAGAGGAGAGCCGCGTCTTGCTTGGATCGCTGAGCTGGCGGAAAGTGTTTTTTTTTGGGGGGGGGGGGAGAGGTAGCTGCAATTAAAGAGCAGCATTTGGTTCAAACGTGAGCTCCAGGCTGCCCTGCAATTTTTCTTTTTCTTTTTTGTAGTTTTGCAATTTTGGAAAAGTAGTTCAAAAGAAATAGACTCGAAATCTGAGCAGAAGCGTGCGAAGTCTATGCAAATGTGTTTGGCCTCGCCTTTAATTAGTCCTCCAAAATGTTGCAAATCCGTAATCCTATCTTCGCAATCCGATTTGGAGGTATTAAATTTCTGAAAAGTCGGCCGAGCTGCGGTGCATCCGGGATTTTTCGGCCGGGTGCACTTTCTGGAAAAGCGCCGTGACTTCGGTTTGGGGTAACATTTTTGGAAGGGTGGGAGTGCTGGGGCAAGGCTTAGCTTTTCGTTTGTCTTTCTTTGGAGCGGGGGAAATGCCTTTACTTCCCATGCTCTCCCCGCTTGCGACTAAGGTGAAGCCACCCAGGCGCGGAGCGCAGAGTCGCCGCCGCTGCCGGGGCCTCTCTCTGGGTGGAGGGCCTGGTCGCGGTGGTCGGATCTGCGCACGGGGTACGGACGTTCCCGGGCAAACTGGGGCCTACAAGGTGCCGCCGAGGCCAGAACGGCTTCAAGCACCCGCAAACGACCGGACTCAGGAGTTGGAGCCTCCGCTGCCTTTTGAGGAGGGGGAGGGGTTGCCCTTGGGTCTGAGCCCGCCAGCCCTAGTCCAGCGGAAGCCTGAGTTCGGGCCTCGCCGCCCGCAGACCTCGGGTCGCAGGGAAAGTGTGATTTGGTCGCCCAGGTGGCAGTGGAGACCACGGCCCACTCTCACCTTCTTTCTGCCTGTTCCCTGCAGGGCTCTCCCTATGACCATACACCGGGCATGGCAGGCTCCTTGGGGTACCACCCTTACGCGGCGCCCCTGGGCTCGTACCCGTACGGGGACCCCGCGTACCGAAAGAACGCAACAAGAGACGCCACCGCTACGCTCAAGGCCTGGCTCAACGAGCACCGCAAGAACCCCTACCCCACCAAGGGCGAGAAGATCATGCTGGCCATCATCACCAAGATGACCCTCACCCAGGTGTCCACCTGGTTCGCCAACGCGCGCCGGCGCCTCAAGAAGGAGAACAAGATGACGTGGACTCCGAGGAACCGCAGCGAAGACGAGGAGGAGGAGGAGAACATTGACCTGGAAAAGAACGACGAAGATGAGCCCCAGAAGCCCGAGGACAAGAGCGACCCCGAGGGGCCCGAAGCAGGTTGGTGGACGCGGGAAAGGGTGTGTGTTGAGCCAGAGTCAGAAGGAATAGGGGGGTCTGGAGAGGGGGAGCACAGGGCCTGAAGGCTGGGGGTAGGGGCCTTTGCCTTTGCGGGCGGGGACCTGGGCGCCCCCCGCGAGGTCTCTGCGCCTCTGATGGCCCGGGTTTCTCCCGCAGGAGGAGCGGAACAGAAGGCGACTTCGGGCTGCGAACGGCTGCAGGGGCCGCCTACTCCCGCCGGCAAGGAGACCGAGGGCAGCCTCAGCGACTCGGATTTTAAGGAGCCGCCATCGGAGGGCCGCCTGGACGCGTTACCCGGGGCCCCCCGGGCCAGCGGGCCCTCCCCCGCGGGTCCAGCGGCGGCGCGACTGGCCGAGGACCCGGGCCCTCATTACCCCTCGGGCACACCGGCTCCGGGCCCTCACCCAGCCACGGGAGAGCTGCCCCCCGGTCCAGGCGGGCCCTCGGTCATACACTCTCCCCCACCACCACCGCCGCAGGCGGTGCTAGCCAAGCCCAAACTGTGGTCTCTGGCAGAGATCGCCACATCCTCGGACAAGGTCAAGGACGGGGGCGGCGGGAGCGAGGGCTCTCCGTGCCCACCGTGCCCCGGGCCCGTAGCAGGGCAAGCCCTAGGAGGCAGCCGCGCGTCGCCGGCCCCGGCGCCATCGCGCTCGCCCTCAGCGCAGTGTCCCTTTCCAGGCGGGACGGTGCTGTCCCGGCCTCTCTACTACACGGCGCCCTTCTATCCCGGCTACACGAACTATGGCTCCTTCGGACACCTTCACGGCCACCCGGGTCCCGGACCAGGCCCCACAACCGGTCCAGGCTCGCATTTCAATGGATTAAACCAGACGGTGTTGAACCGAGCGGACGCTTTGGCTAAAGACCCGAAAATGTTGCGGAGCCAGTCCCAGCTAGACCTGTGCAAAGACTCTCCCTATGAATTGAAGAAAGGTATGTCCGACATTTAACGCGGGCTGCGTCGGTCCCGGACTTTCCTAATTTATTAAAAAACATGGCCTTGGCAGTTATTTTTCCATCAACGAGAGAGAAAAAAATAAAACTACCCCTCCTATTAAAAAGTTTATAGTTTATGGAGATGGATGACATAAAAATGTAAACATCTCCACACACACAGAAATGTCTTAACCAACCGAAAAGAAAAAATTAAAAAAAAGGATTTGTATTAAATCTTATTCTGTATATTTAATGTAGCATTTTGTATTTAAATTGATAATTCAATATCTTTGAAGTAAATTATGAAATTAAGACACCTGTACAGGCATTTAATGTTTCTTTTTGTAATATAAATATATACATTTGTGTTTCCCCCAAAACTGTTTCATAGTTTAAAAATACAAGTTTAATTTAATTTTTTACACCTATTGATTCTTCTGGGTATGAGCTAAAGTATTATTACAGAAAGGAAACAGGTTATACTCTTAGATTTAAAAAGTAAAAGAAACTGCAGCCGCCTTTGTAAAATGCAAAATATTTAATTAAAAGAGATTTTAACATAATCAAAGCCACTCATTACTTTTTAGAAACCTCAATAAACTGTCCATCGCCTTGGACAAAAGGTGCAAACTGCAACTTTTTTTCGAAGTGGTGAATTGAAAGGTTCCGCAGAACCTCAATGTGCTGGGGTTCGTAATTAGGCTGCAAGCCGAGGGGGAACCTGGCCCTGCCCCGACTGCAGGTTGGGATCACTGATGCGGGCTGCTTGGGGGAGATTGGACCCTGGAGGAAGGAGGAGAGAGACCCAAGTGTATGCCCAGAAGGGAGAAGAGATGGCAAAGCCAGCTAGAGACAGGCTCCGCCCGAACTCCATCGCTTAACCTAATTACTTCCAATCAGTGTCGTGTTTTATGCAAAGCAATCAGCTGGTGAACTTTGCTAATGAGTTCGATTTTATGCCAGATTTAGCCCTTATTACTATTTCAAAGGTGCTGTGGGCTAATGCGGGCGGGGAGCGTTAGGGGGTGCCCAGGAGAAGGCCTTCCCAAGTCACTGTCTTGTCTACCCCTTCAAAATTGGGCATTGATCTCTTCGTGGGATTTGATTAAATTAGTAAATGTTCCATCCGCGACGGTGCGGATGGTAGGCAGCCCCGTAGATCCCCCACGCAGCCGCGGGGCTGGGACCGCGGGACCGGCGAGGGGACGGTTCCCCCCTTTCACAGGTAGGTGTCACACTTGCCCTGAATTTCAAGCCTGCACTCCGCAGAGTAGGAGATGGGAGAGAGAGTGGGTGAAGTAGGGGAGGGAGTGCCACAGGAGCTTGGGGGAAGCGAGAGCAGCCCCGAGCGGACCCGGAGAGCAGCCCCCACCCCGCCAAGGGCCCCGTTTTGGACAAGTGGCCTTTAAAAGTTCGAGGAAATTTGCCTAGATAATGAGGCCGCTGTGGACTCTATCAGGCTTGTCGTCGCTTTAGCACTTCCCCCATCTCAGATACGAGAGTCCGAGTAGCTACAAAAGCTTTTTGAGGTTTTATTTTTCTCGTTTTAATCCCGCATATTTCATCTCAAAATGAAAGGTCAGGATGCGTATCAATCCCAAATGAGGAGACACCCGCCCTGCGCCGGAGGCCCGCCAACACTGTGGGTGCTCGCGTCTCCATTTTGCGCGGAAGATGTGGAACCGCAGACGTGTTTTAC